CTACTCTTGCGAGGCTAGTAATTAGCACTTCAGGCGCATGAGAGCAACCCCTGCGCCCGGAAAAATGGGAGCACCCTACAACGCAGTTCTGCCTTAGCTCCTATCAAGCTTTCTTACCTGACAGCAGAACCCTGGCGATGGGTTCCTGAAGCTCTAAGCCCGAATCGATTTAAATCATGTTGGAAACGCCCATAAATAATTACTCCAGACGTTGCGAATGCTGCTGAAACAGCTTGAGATGACCCCATGCTGCAAAACAAGTCGCCATCTTTCTCCATGCGCGTGCCCACCCGAAGCTTCATCAACTCCCATGAACCTCATGGACAGATCACCCTGGACCGAAAAGCCTTGAACTGAAAAAGTACCAAAACCTACTTTTTTTTGTAGGGTCCCTATGAATTCCATATTAAGGTCCAAACTAAGAGCCTACAAAAGAGGTAGTCACTAGCCGCAGCACCAATCTGTGCAACACATGTCCCGCGCGACCTCCCGCCGGATGTAATCCACGATCGGCCTGGGCCAGACGATTGCTCGGCTCTAATCTAAACCCCAAACCCTGTTAAACCCCAACTCCTACAATTTTGATTGGAAAACCCTAAAGAGAGTGGCGATTCGTGCTCGTCTCACATCTTCTAGATTTCGTGGCTGAGGTTTGGGGTCTCAAAGCAATTCTGCTGGCTGCATGGCCCTAATTGTGACTTGGGCATGGCTGGTGGGTCTTGGAAACGTTGAAACCACAATCGACATCTTTAGACCTATAAACGCCACGACTCTGCAAGGCCTTTAACCAACCCCTCAAGACCCAAGATAGATGACAGCAGGAAGAGAAAGAACAAATTGTATAATAGGCTTCACCTCGATCCCACAAACCTGTAGGAGGAGATCATCTCGCCTTCGACCCGAATCTCTTCACCCTTAATGTGGGGGCCTTAATAAGTAGAATAGGGTTTTGGCGGCTCCTTGTTATAACTTTAGTATACCATACCCCAAACCCTCTTCTAATTATTAAGGCCCCGACCCTAAACCCTAAACCCTCAACGCCGAAGCCGGAAAGCCTCAACTGGATTCCTCTTCGGGCACTCCGAAACAAGGAGCCGGACTCGGCCTTCAACCAAAAACACCCAAGGCCTTTCAGAAGACCCTATTAGGGTCTAGGGTTTAGGGTTTAGGGGTTTAGGGTTTAGGGTTTGCATATATATATATATATAACATCCTGTAGAAGGTTCAATGTTGCCACTCTTTTGAAGTCTCCGCTCGGGTCTGACTGAAACTGGATCAGCTTCGTCGTTGCAGGCGTTCGTACTTCGTCTCAACAATTCAGGCTGCTCTGGCTGATGGCGTCGCCTGGGACCCTCGCTAAAGTGGGGTTTTGGGGTTTAGGATGTTGGGCAGCAGTCAGCACTCACGCCAATCACTTGTGTGACTTGTCTGCAGCACTATATCCGTCTCTGGTAAGGCGAAGCCTTGCTAATGCGCAGCACGAAGCTTCCAGGAGTTGAGACTTGTGTGCGGCGCCACTATGCAGGCCCGGCTGCGTTGAGGGATTGGGGTTTCCTTGCTGACCCGACAATGGAGTTGCACCGGCTACAGTAACCAATGCGCTGTCTAACATGTGTTTTATGTGTAGTGCTGCTACCTGCGTGGCGCCACCTGGCGCACTTCTATTTCGCTGCAGTCATACCCAACATGTGTCTGGCCCGCTGTATTGGCACAAGGCCCTCGTGGAAAAAGCACCTTTCGCGGCACGACCACCGCTACCAACACACCCTGGAGCCTATAATCATTACGATTCCACGGCACTCTAAACCCTAAACACCTAAATGGGACAAATAGGGGACCCGAATATAGTACCCTGAATAGTAGGATCCTGATTATAAGGACCCCCCAAATAAGGTGCCCCTAATTTTCGGAAGCTCCCAAATCATTACCAATCCGACTACGATGACGACTTCGCCTGCACTCACTGCTGCTTCCGTCGGGCCAGAGCCACAGCGGCTACCGCTGCGAGGGCAGAGGCCACCAGCACTAGCGGCCAAAGGGTCCTGGTTCATAATGTTTTTTTTTTTTCTTAAGTACGGTTTTGGGAGCGGACTTTAAGGTTGTCTTTGTCAAGTGATGCATGTACTACGGGTTTCATAATTGATGGCTTCCCGCTCCCTTAATCTGGCAAGGCATTTGGAGGGTATAAGGGTTCAGCAGACACACGATTGGATCGGGCAGACATCGTAATGGTTGGATAAGGCTTCGGGCTTAGGCTTCTGCGGCAGTGCTTTGTTGGCTTCGCGCTCCGTTTAGTGTTAAGGTTAATGGTTTCCTATAGGGTTGTAGCACAGAGCCATCCCTTCTTTATTGCATTAACCCTATAAACCCTAGACCCTAAAAACTAAACCCTAAACCCTAAAAGCTAAACCCTAAACCCTAAAAGCTAAACCCTAAACCCTAAAAGCTAAACCCTCCCCCGCCCACCCCTACCAGACCATACCATTGGGGGGGGGGGGGGGGGGCGGAATCCGGGAGCGCCAGACGCCTGACCATATATGTATGTATGTATGTATATATATATATATATGTATGTATGTATGTATATATATATATACATGCTACCCCCCAACCCTGAACCCCAACTCTGGCTTTACAAGACACACAACAACTACAGGCAACATACCTTAGATTCGGCACGTATTAATATTAGCATTCGCATGTATACTCGTATTAGTGTTGATGAGTGCTACTACTAATGTTTAAATTAATATTCCTCATAATAAACGTTACTGTAGCATTAGTACTAGCGTTGGCATTAGTATTATGCATATTCGTAATGGATTTGGTATTAGTGTTCATATTCGTATTAATTTGGGTCTTGAAAACTGTTAGTGTTGATATAATATAATAAGTATTGAGACTGAATAATGTAAGACCATGAGCGGTAGTCTCTGCACACATACAAAAGCCATGTATATATATATATATCAGTATAGATTCGTATTGGTACTACGAGTATTAGTATTCGTAAGAATATTAATATTCACATCAATAGTAGTATTAGTATTAGGACAAGTATTAGTAATCAAATTACTCTTAGCACAGGCACGAAGAGTAAGATTAATATGATTGTAAGCATTTTTCGACGTAGGAATATTGATCTTTTTAGTAGTGCTAACCACTACTAATAGCAAGATACTTACTAATGCTAATATTCATACGTGCCAAGTCTAAGGTATACTAAACTGATATGTTATTTATTGACATCCATGTTCATATTAATATGGGTATTACTGTTGATGTGGATAGCAATAAGATACAAGAACATGCAAGCATCAACGTATTAAAGAATCAGTGATTTCATATACCAGGTTACCAATATACCAATCGACCAATATACTAATACACGAATGTACTCAAGTACTAATTCACTACTATACTGAAATACTAATATACTAATGTACTAAAACATGAATCCGTTAATACACTAGTATACCAATATACTTGTATACATATATAATACTAACAGTAATACTAACACAAAGACTAAGACCAAGACTAGGACTAATGTGAAGACTGGCACTAACACTCACACCCGTATTAATACTAATGTTGTATAGGCTTATACCAAGACTAATTCGAATAATAATGCTAATACTCATACTAACGCTGACATTGACAATGACACCAATGCTAACACTAATCAACGCGAACAATACTAATAAGACGAATGCCAGTATGAATACAAATGACAATGCCAATAATAATAATAATAATAACACGAAGCTAATGCTAACACTGAAACAAACATTCAGGCTGGTACTCCTACAAACAACAATACTATGATTAAAATTTGGAACAAGACTACACCAAGACTATAAGATTAACATTATTACTAACAGTTAGACTAAGAACCAGACTAGGGCTAAGATGAATTAAAATAAATACCAATACTGAGATTAATAGGTACAACTATAGTCAACCAAATTTGCATGTATGTTCTGTGTGCGCTTACTCAATATGTGAGTCAGTGAATCAGTGAACCTGTGAATGAATGGATGAGTCAGTGAGTTTGTGAGTCAGTGAATCTATGAAAAACTGATATTGCTGCTTCCAAGTGTCTCATAGAGTTGGTTTCCGATTGTTTCAACGAAATGCCACTAACAGTTCTACAAAATGTTCTCAAACGTTGGTTTTTCCAATTTTTCCAAAATGTTCACGAATTTTATCATTATGTATAGAAGATTTCGTGGAAATAGTTGGAGAAACCAACATTTTTGCTGTCAAGTGCTTCAAAACATTTGGCTTTCCAACTTTTTCTACAAAATGCTTCCAACAGTTGGTTTTTCCAACTTCCTCCAAAATTTCCGCGAACTTTTGCTCTATGTATACCGGATTTCGTGGAATAAGTCTGAAAAAAACAGTGTTTTTTGCTTCCAAGTGCGTTAAAAAGCTCGTTTTGCCAACTATTTTCGCGAAGTCCCCAATGCATAGTGCGAACACTCATGGAAATTTTGGAAAAAGTTGGAAAACAACTTTTGGAAGCATTTTGTTGACAAAGTTAGAAAACCCAACTTTCTGAAGCACTTGGAAGCAAACATGTTGGTTTTCCAGCTTTTTCAAAGAAATCCTCTATACATAGTGCAGAAATTCGTGAACATTTTGGAAAAGGTTGGAAAAAACAACGTTTGGGAGCGTTTTGTAGAAAAAGTTGGCAAAACCAACTTTATGAAGCACTTGGAGCGGAAGTTTTGGAAAAAGTTAGACAAACCAACTTTTGGGAGCATTTCGTGGTAAGAGTTAGAAGACCAACTTTGGGTAGCATTTCGTATCAAGCGTTTGCAAAACCGGCCAATACAAGATTTCACACGTCGTGTCGTTCGACAGTCGTCTTCTGAGAGACGTGACTAACTGCACTTCCAAGAGACATCAGGTTGGGGTTCGGGGGGTACCATATATATATATATATGTATATATATATATATATACTAAGTACATACATACATACATACATACATTTATACAGATCTGTCTGCATGTATGTGTATGTCACCATCATGGCAGGGCCACTTGTGCTGGGGTCTTGGCTCGCGAATCAGCTGCAGGATCTCCGGGTCGAAGTTAACATAATACGATTTCTGATCCTGTTAAAGCTGGTCATTGGAAGAAGAGCCTCACGAACTATAGCAGATGGCAAGTTCCTCGGGAAGCTTGGTGAGGAGAGTCGCGTTCAAGCCTGCCTGGTGGCGCGCTGAACTACGAAGCTCCGACTTGAAAGTCTTCTGACCACCTTCGTCGTCTCTATGGAGCTCACCCAGGCCTGCCAATCCGAACAAATTTACATCCACCCCAGTCAAAGCGCACAAGTCAGTCGCAAACAGCTGTCAACTGTGCACCTGGTGCCACACGATCTCGAATTCCACGAGTGTCTTTGCCTAATTTCGAAGCCCGTGCGCGAGAGAAGTACATCCGTGCATGCTGGACATGTAAATCTCGCACAACTTCTTGTCAAACAGCTGTTTACTCTACTCAAGATAGCCACTTTGCCGCACCATACTCTGTAAGTGCAGCAACGGGGAAGTCGAACATCGGAAAGATTGACAAGCTTCAGCAAGGGACGCAGTGACCCCGTGAACGCGCAGCCTTTTTTCGCAAGGCACAGGTTTTCGCGTCGCAAAATTCACAAAGGAAGAGATGTCATGGGATCACCCGCATCTCAAAGCGACACGAGCCTCAAGCCCGGGAAAGGCATCTGCCTGAACATTGAGATCTCTAGGTGCAATACTGGTTGTATATTAGGCACTGACCCCTCATTCGGCTCCGCCCCCTGCATTGGGGAGCTTAGCGAGAGCATCACGCTTGATCGATTCCACATTCTCTGCCCTGGCGTTCGGGAGAAATGGTGGCTTCGTTTTGCCACTTGCAGTGGTGGTCTCGATGCCAAACTTGACTTCGGCGTGGTAAGGCGTGCCGTGGCCGTACCGATGACTACCGCGAGCAGTGCACGACAATGCACAAATGTTGCAAAGCTGACCCCTGCGACTGTGGAACCAGGCCAGATACAAAAACCTGAGGTGCGCACCATCTTGTTGTAGATTTTGATGACGCGCTTGGCCTCCTTGCCTGCAGTGAGCAAAACAACGATAGATGCAATTGGCAAGCATGCTCCACGCAACATCTCAGCACAAGATGCAACAACAGGTAAGCTCCAGCCGCTAGCCTCCTGCCACTACAAGGGGGTTGTGGTGGAACCTTGCGCCAGACCATGGCTCGCAGTGTCCCACAGTCAGATGCAGTGGCAACTTTCAAGCCACACCGAGGCCACATCTTTTGCATTGGCTCCATGATCCGGTGCAGAAGTTGCCGCCTCGGGCTGCTATGACTCCTGGCTCTTCCAAGAGTAACCAGCCAGTATTGCACTGCGTTGGCTCCAACTGATGTGGCCGAGGTCAAGACGACCACATGATATTGCCTGGGTCAGGGTAGTCTGAAGAGGACTGGAGAGAAACATGACATGGCAGCAGGTGGAAGGTTTCACAATAGCTCAGCTGGAAAGCCCCTGGCCGGCCACGGGGGGCATGTTGCGCACAATCTGTGGCGAGACGCGGTGCTTCTCGTAGAAGTCCTGTCAGAACATCTTTGGAAGCATGAGCACTTGTCGACAAATCCCCCACCTTCAAGCTCTCAAGCTCCTGACCATAGTTGTGGAAAATCACCTGCACTCAATTTCCAACTCACAGCGAGCTTCCGGACTCATGTCAGCCAAGAGTCCGGCTGCAAACTTGGACTCCAGATCTGTTTTCAAGCCTGGCTCAAGACAGATGCAGGGTGCCGATCACCGGGCAAGGGGAGTAGCACAACTTCGCTGATTCGGCCGCACAGTGGCAACTTGCCCATTTGACGCTTTCAAGATGCATGGGACAGCGCCGTTTCTTCGTCGGGGAACCGGTGATAAGCGCAGGAACTGCATGGAATGGAAGCCAGTCGGCAAATGCCGGCAATCCATCCCACGCTTGCTAGAATCACACCAGCTGCTACCGCCACCCAGACAGGCCTGGTTGCCTTTGAAAAGGACAAGGCAGTATCACTCGCACGAGCTGGCATGCAGACATCTGCCGGGTCCGAGAGCACCACCTGAGCGACACTACAACGAACACACGCAAGGGCACCAGTGGTCCACTTCTTCGGAAATGACGAGCTGCATCTGCATGGCGCCAGGACCGGTTGAATTTGTTCTCGAGCTGTGCGCAGTGAGATGCTGAAGATGTCGAGTTCAGGCAGAGCTGGACGAGGCCGAACAGTGCCCAGCCATTGTGTGGCAGAAGACCTTCGAAGGCAGCAGGCTCTTGGGCTCTTGCAGGAACGCAGACTTGAGGAAGAAGCATCGAAAAGCCAAGGAGCTCAGGCTTTGCTGCCAAAGACTTCTTGCCTCTTCGGCATGGCCCAACCTCGCCAGAGCCTCGCCAAAGCGATTGGCGACTGGCAAATACCATGCCGGGGGCTCGTCGTAGGGCAACTCGGCCTCTCAAAAGACACGAGAAGTCACAAATTACTCTGCGACACGACATGCCCAAGCCTCGGCCATCAGAGCCTCCTTCCACGCACTCAGCTCGTCATTCTCCGCCTGCTCCGCCCTCGCCACATGCGCCTTCAACTCCAGGCTGGCCAAACGCAGTACCGCATCTGCCGGGTAAACTGCCCAATCCTGCGGAACGGATCGGAAGAGAAGAGAACCAGCAGCCCCTGCACTGCCAAACCCGGCCTTGCTTCCATTGAAGTTCTTCCAAGCCATCCCGGATGGAATGGCCATGCGTGCTTGAACGCGCAGCCTGGGCAACGAGAGCAGTGAAAAAGTGGAAGGCCTTGCTTTATGAACACGGCGAACGACACAAAGAAACCTGAAAATCGGGCAGTTCTTCATGCTGCATGCTCGGGGAGGATTCTGTGCTCCGGGTCATAGTTGTTTCGCAGAGCCTGGCGCAAGCCTGACCGAAGCAGCTTGCGGCCGTGGCCACTGAGAACTTTGTAGGCTGTGTTGGAGAGGGTTCCATGTGAACAGCAATTGAACACGGGCAAGTCAATCCTAAAAGAGAAGCATGTTCCGCATGTGAAAAAGCATCAGTCAAAGTACTTGCCGGCATGGATTTGCGCTGGCTGTCGTTGTTGTTTGCCGTTGCACCGACAATGGTAGTGGCAGTGGTAGTGGCAGTGACGTGGCGCTGGCAGTGGCAATGGCAGTGGCAGCGGCAGCAGTAAGTAAGATGTAGTGGTGGTAGGAGGAAGATGAGGAAAAGGAGTAGAGCAGCAGATTGGCACTCAAAAGGCTACGTCACACTGCCTTAAATGGATGCGTGCTTGACACTGGCCATGCATGCATGTCTGCCGCCGTGCGTCCGCTCTTGCTGCAACTGCTCCAATTCCTCTCTGGCTCTGGAAGCATAGCCCCGCTTGGAGAAGGCAGCTCCCTTTGCGAAATGCCACATGCCTTGGGTTTTGTTCCTCATGGAAGGGAACTCAAGAAAAGGAAGCAAAAGTTTGGTTCGGCAGCTGAAGACCTAGCCTCCAAGAACTGGATCCGACTTGCATTGTTCGGGAAGTTGTGCTGTTGTGATGGCCGTCAAGTGCCCAAATGCCAGCAAGGTCAGCGGCCACACCGATGCGAAACGAGCCGGTGGAAAACCCGTCTCGAAAACACCGGTGCCAACCTTGGCTGCACCGGGGCGAGCCGCCGTGACAACCAACCTGTTGGATACAATCTCTGGTCCGTGTTACCCTCCGGCCAGCCTTGGAAATAACACATCACTGCAGGATCGAGCGAGCTTGCAAAACGAAACACTACTGCCATCAGCAATCACCCAACAACCTGCTCTACGACCAGCCCGGCTGACGGCAAGGCTGTCAAACACTGTGTGCATGAGTTTCGTCGCCCCTGAGCTCAGATCAAAGACACTCAAAGCCGAGCTGCAAGTGGCAAGGCCAAGTGCTCGAGCGACTTCGCAGCATCCAAGGAACAGGCCGATCGGCCTTGTATTCGGCATACCCAAGATAGAGTATCAAGATTGTGCATCGGGTAAATTTGTCTGGGAAGTGACGAAGCCCTGCCGTTATCCACGTCGGCGACATAGAAGTCACCCGTGTGCATAAGTGTGTGGAAACTCATGTGAACCAAATGAGGGGCCCCTGGCATCAGATTTGGCAGCAGTTCCGCAAAAGGTTTCGCCAAATGAAGCAGGGATTGATTGCCACTCGCTTCGGTCACATGAACGTACAAATGCACGCAAAATGCATGCAGGGGATTGCTCGACAGCGCCTGCTCGAGAATGTGCAGAGCCTGTTCGGCCTCTTGTCTCGGCCGCCCTGATGGCTCCCAATAGTTCCATGGCTGAGTGTTCATCCAAGCATCTGCCACTAATGCAGCTATGTTCGGATGAGACTTGGGTCCACCAAGATCAGCAAGCACATGGCCCATTTCGTCCGCGAATGCATGCGTCAGTTCGCGCTCCTGCGCAACATATTCTTCAGGCGATGCCTTGTATCTCGTCACCAGCGCCCGGACGAGTCCGATCTCAACGCGATTCGTGGCACTGCGTGCTCGGTCGTAAGACTTGAGAGCACTCATCCGCTCCGCTTGCTGCGCCTTTTGGTAAGCCAAAGGCAGGCTTTGCAAGAGTCTAGGCTCGTCGAAGCTGTTGAGATTGGGCCCGAGGGCAAAGCTTTCACCCCAAATGCACATGATGCAGCCAGGATCAACAGCCTGCGCAGCACGGAAGGAAATCACGGCACGCCGGAAATCGAAGGCAGCAATGAAGCGAAATCCTTGGTCGAAGTACCTCAGCTGATGTCATCAGCCACGTCTCGGACAGACACGTTTGATTGCAGACCTATGCGGACATCTTTCGAAACTCTCCAGTCGATCAGAATTCAGGTCTAGTGCCTTTGTGCCAGGCTTGATGCATCCACCGGGAAGGATAAGTTGCCCAAGTCATCAAAGAGTGCGATTTGATTTTCCGTAGGGGGCCAACCAGTGTCAGGCTCCAGAGTGCCACAATTCACGGTGATCACAATCCCACAAAGCAAAGCAGCGACCACAGCCATTGCTCGGAGCATTGACGACTACAACTGTTTCTCGAGCTGCTAGAACAGAAAGGAACTTCGGTATCATCGACATTGAGATCCGGAGTGTGACTAGACGCCCAAATTTCTCAGATCTTCTGTGCAATGATCGCTCCTTTCAAAACCCAGAGCATCCATTGAGGCGAGTACTGCCGTGCTGCAAGATACCTTTCGCAGGCATGGCATGGCATTCGAGGGTCTTGACTGCGCATGGTTTCATTTCAATAACTGGGCTGGACTTATCGGCGGTGCGATCCAACTTTTGTAGCTCTTTCCAGCTCATAAAGGATCTTATCCCCAACACCTCGGCTTTCTCCACAATGCGGCACAGGCGATTGCAGACCACTGCAGGCTTGTGTTGTTTTCTGGGTCAAAGGGATCTTCGACTGGCTTGCGGTAATGCGCCTGTTCTTGAGGCGTCCTGGATCTGTTCGAAAGCATGACCCATCATGATCAATTCCGAAAAGAAACTCCAATCGTTTCCAGATTCCTAGGCACCTCGAGGAGGTACAGTCAGACACTGCACTCACTGCCAGCGACACAGCTGCTACGTCCGGGTCTGCTTGAACTCTCGCCTGTGCTACATGTAGACATGCCAAGGCGCCCTGGAACTTGCTCAGTAGCTTCAGCGACGTATCAATCGACCTGCTGCGAAGCAATCGTCAGCACCCGGCTGACACTACAGCCAATGCATGATCTTCATGTGCTCTTGCTGCCCAAACACGCAATGTTCTGGAAGGACTGGTTGATGAAGTCCTGCCGTAGTCGAAAACCCTTCAGGCTGGACGGTCACACCGCAAAAAAAGGTGGGCTTTAGTTCTCCTGCAGTGCACTCTCAAGTTCGCTGATGCGGACATTAAACCTGGCAGCTGAAAGCCACATGGGCCACTGCACTACCAATCAATCCTGGCATGCCACGGCCTGTACTCATTTTGGCAGTGGCAGGAACTTCTCTTAAAGATTCCCCACATGTCTAACACGAGCCGCAATTGCTCGACGTAGTCTCTGTCAAAGCGGTTGTTCAGGAAGTCCAACAGGTCCTCTGAGTGGTGATGGGTTGTGATCACACAATCTGAGGCCAAGGCGCTGGCATGACTCTTGAACTTGAAGTCGTCCACGATAGTCTGGAACGAGCCCACCAATTGATGGATCCTTCTGGCGCTGCTCGTTGCAGAATCCATCTCAATATCGCGCTTCCGGATTCTGCGCTACTCAATCTCAGGAAGCCACCCATCCATTGACTTCAAGTGTATCTTGAGCTGGTTGAACTGGTGAACAGTACTGAACCTATAGGCACGCCGAGGGGCTTCGCTCAGAGCTAAGCAGCAGTAGCTGAGGCGAGGGCATGTGTATGAGCTTGACAACCCTTCGGCAGAAGAGATCAAAGCGTCCAAAAATGAGACTTTCGTTGAAATCAAACCTCGCAGCGGCAGGCATTGTGATCGGTATCCAAGTCTAACAGCATCTTAGGAATCAGCTGCTTGCCCTTCGGCAAAGTCATGAGCTTATTCTTGGTGAGGTTGTATTGCTCTTGGTACCTCACACATGGTCACACATGTCACACGCACCATCCTTTCTTGGCGAGGGCTTGGGGCTGCAAGCCCCCGGTTCGGACGTAGGCTTCTGGTTGCGGGGCTGGGATCAGCGAGAACTAGTACAAGGGCTAACACAGGCTTAGATTCAGATCCAAGCTTCTGTTTGGCTTCGAATGATTCAGCTTGAGTGCCGGATGCTTTCAGATTTCGGCCGGGGGGGCTGTGACATGCCGCCTTCTGGTGTCTAGACCGTGGTGTTTCAGTTCTCACAGCTCGGACAATCCAAGTGAAGCTCCATCGAGCTCGGCACACGATAAAATTCCGTTTTGGTGCTCGGGTGTTCGAGGCGAGAACATGGGCTAGCCGTGCCGCCGGCTCGGTCGCAAAGAGCAGGAAAACGTATCAGCCCCAGACGATTCGTTGAGCTTGAGGCATACGTCAAGGTGGCCGATCAAGTCCGGAGGATAGGTATCCCAAAGCCTGACTCGCAACATGTATCGAATGACCTGACATCCAAATGCGGAAACACCACGGATGATTTTGTCGCAGCAATGAAGGCACCTATCGAATAACTCTTGCACGACACAGCCGTTCAGAGGCTAGGCTCATGACTGAGACGCGTCCTCACAGTCTCCGATGATGCACGTCTTGCACAGGGGACCAAGTCCACTGCAATCGAATGAAATTAGCTTGCAAACGCACCCTGCAGTTGTTGATCATCTGGTTGGTAATCTTGGAAAACAAGTTGGTGATGCGCTCTGACCTCAGATTTAAGAAAAACTAACACCACCGAATGCTGACAGCGGGCATGACACTGCCGTCATTTCAGCCCGAAACGTGTTGTAATATCTTGCAATGGTGTGGATCATCGTCACCTGAGCCAACGCATGGGGTTGAACAACATCTTATCGACAACATGCACGTTATGCCGGAAACTCATTCAAGGTTCTAGGTCCAGCTGCCGAGTTCAGCAAGGCAGGCAGGGTGTCGATGATTTGAGACCTGAACCATCCAATTGCATTCACGGTGGCCTGTCCTGAAAGCCCGAAAAGCTCTGACTGTTTCTGGGATTGTCACGGTGTTCCGGAGTACAGGGGCTCAATGAATTTCTCGAGGGTGGTGAGATACTTCACGTTGTCCTGTCAAAGGCCGTCGTCTCGAATAGGGACACAGACACTTAGTTGTCGGAATGTATGGGAAATTCGTGCTGCTAAGTTATGCTGGTTGGATTTCGCCTTCGCCTCGTTGAAAGCTTCTGTGATGGAGATGTCCTTTCGTTGCACGGACAACCGCAAGCTTGAACGTCAAAGCTGCTTTCGACAAGCTCGGGAAGGTGCGATTTGCTTCCAGCGGCGAAGGGTGTTGAAGACAGTTTGGCGGCCTGGGAACACAGTGGGAGGGTTTACCAGAACTTCGCCTCGAAGCCCAGAACGGAGCGACGGTGTACAAAGTCACGCTTGTCCAATGAAGTCCTGGATCCCCACTCCTGGTTCAGAATTTTTAGCATTCGCTACTCGACAACGCCAGGCGAGGTTTCACGATACAAACGTTGCCATACGTTCCTGTAATGCAACTGATTCCAAGCTCGCAGTCGTCCAACGTAAACACTCCGACCTTCCCTGACCTGAACGGCAACTCGCAACCAAATCTGCCGAGCATGGAAGGAAACCGTCGCGGGTCGTCATATATCCTCCCTACATGGCACTAGGGCGCAGAAGTGGACTTTGCCACTACTACATTCTACATGCCGGGAACCCGGTTGAATCATTGCATCGTACGAGGGAGCAAAAGCCGCTGGATAGTTCCTCTGTACCAGTGAAGTGGGTGCTTCGCCTGAACTACCGATCTCTTTCGCCTCCGACCTAGAGAGGCCTGGTTCCGGACCATTCCTCGTTCCACCGAGGCAGCCAGCTTACGGTGCGTGGGGCCAGTCTACGAATGGAGCGCAGAGGCGAAAAGAGATCACATGAGCAATGCAAGTTTGATTCAGTTTGATGCCGTGCCGGGAGTAACGGGAGCCGCTTTAGGGAGTAACGGAAACCGATCTCACAGCGTAAAGGAAACCTGCAGCCACGGTAACAGCAACCAGGCGACCAGCGTAACACGAAGGACCACCGCAACAGGAAGTGGTCTCGGGAACCAGCAAGGCGTGGGCAGGAGGCCTTTGAGCTCTCAAGGGACCGAAAACCGGTCCCCAACGGGCAGGCCTGAAGTAGACAGGAATCGATGCAGTGGGACCCGCACACGCACACACGCGCATACAAACTCAAGTGCGTATGCTGATACAGGGGTACTCAGCAGGTACACACAACCAATCTTATGCATAAATGCAGGCACAAGCTGACAAACAAGCGGGCAAGCGAACAGTCGTATGTCGTAGTCTTATGGGTTCACAGTGATGCATGAAAGATTGAACTGGTTGCAGATGCATTCATGTGTGCGTATAGGTTTGTCACCAAGGTGAAGTCCCCAAACCCCTAAACCCCTAAACCCTTAATTAAACCCTGAACCTCTAATAAACCCTAAACCCCTGAACCCCTGGCCCTAAACCCAGACCCTCAACCCGAAACCCTGAATTCTGAATCCTGTAACCCTAAGCCCTAACGAATTGAAGCCCAAGGCCCAGGTTCCTGTTACAAGGGGCTGCCCCAACGCTGTTACGGGAACCACAGGGTTGGCGTTACGATCCGGGCTGTTCTTGTTACCAGTTTCTGTTGCGATCGGCGTGTTCCGTTTACGGAAAATACTCACGTGTGATGTCGGACTCAAGCGACGTGACTTCTGGCTTCTGCTCATTGCTGCACCGACCGCATCCACCCAGCACGCGCTGCGACTTCACCACAGCGGCACGGACTGTCCACACGAATACACAGGCCCGATTTGCTGAGGGAGCGATTTATTCCCTCAGAAGTAGAAAGAAACATGCAACACATTGGTTGCCTGGCAATCTTCGCAATTGGACACGACGCTCGGATACGGGCCCTTGCAACTTGAACTCGAAGGGCGAGACCAACACGCTTCGGCAGCAGAGAACCAAGTGCACCCTTGAGACAGGATGTGCTGCCACAACACTGGTGCCTGCAAGTTACACAAGTCCGCAGCAGAACACGGAACAGAATCTGTAAGGTCACAAGCTGCTCAGTTCAGCATGGAGTGTTGCATGCGACCGGCTTCGACATGTAGTTGTTTCCGTCGCAGGTGCTGGGCATGGAGTAATCAGAGCCTACTGATGATCACCGGCCCTGAGAAATCTCAAAAATTCACAACGTGGCTTCGTGCGACGTAGGGGGCACGTAAAGCTAGTGTCACTCCAAACACACGACCGTGATTGCTCCATCGCCATCACAAGTCGACAATGAGACAGTGGAGCCAAAACGGCAGAGCCAGCTTGAAAGCCTGATCTTGAAACGTGCCTTGCAATCCGAAGCCCCGCGCAGATCTGCATGGATTTGTCGTGCGAACGAACAAAAGTTCAGGAGATTGGGGTCGCTGCTCTTTGGCGCCACGTCGCTTCCACCCTGCTGTCGCGTCACCGCCTGAGCATGTGGCTGTCTCTGCACACTTCACAAGCTTTTTGCAACACTCGCACTCGAACAGGTAAGGCGAAGATTCGGAGGACAACTGGAGTCGTGTTTCCAATTGACGGCTCACCTCGAGCAGCAAGCTAGGTTGGCTCGAGGCCCCAGTCGGTTTTGCCGAAATCGACAGCACACAAAACCGCCGGACGTCCTGAAAAGGGCCATCTGCAAGTCCGTACGCTTACGGCCCTCGTCGAGCCGGCTTTGAAAAAAGCATCCCTTTTTGTACAACTGTACAGAAGGCGAGAGTTGCGAAAGTGAGCTGTAGCACCAGATGCCTATGCACAGCTCACGATGCTGCCGTGAACAGCAAGCATAAGCAAATCAGGCATGACATCGACATCGTCTGCACAACCGCGTGGCTATCGGGCCATCCAACTTGTATCCTCCATCCAGCGTCTGTGAACTTGTGCATGACAGGTGGAACCCGTGGAACCCAAAAGCCTTCTCGACTTTGGAGATGCTCAGCAGAAACCCTTCTGATGGCTCAAGGTGGCGCAGGAAACGTGACGGCTTGCGGCCTAAAGCAAGGCCAACGCAAGCATAGCTATGTTATGTCGCAATAGCATGCTCCAAATTCTCGAATCGTGAATTGACAGCAAATGTCGTCGTCAACCGCTGCCAGCCGGGGCTGTCTGTTCATATAGCCGGGAAGGCAGCCAGCCAGCTAGCAATACAGCTCCTGAGTCGCCCAACGAAAGTCGCACTTGAGATTTAAAGCTCCTTGCAGCGCACAAGGCTGAGGCTATGCTAGAAAAAGTCGTATAGAATGGGGTGTGCGTGCGTGAATGCGTGCGTGCGTGCGTGCGTGCG